AATTCCGGTAGATTCGCCCCTGGGACAACTTCTCCAGCAGTGGTTCTCCCCGAATCTAAAGGAATTCACCAAACGTCTCGAAAAGAAAAACATGATTTATCTTTGTCGAGACCGATGGCCAAAATACCCTTTGATTGATCCTAAATTTCCATATCACTGGAGTCCTGAGGGGGAAACCAGTACCTATTGGATGACCCAATTGCGAGACTATATTCTCCAACACAAAATGACCACCCAAATTGCATACATAGAGATATGGTTTCATGTGAAATTTGCAACAGAAGGGCAATGAAAGCGAGTTGGAAATCCTAACTTGAATAATGTACCAGCCAATGTTCCAGCAGCCCCGCCATTGCCGGTGGCACAACCCCCTCCTCAGCCGCCTTATCCGTGACTGAAAAAGGAATTAAAACAATTGGAGAAAGATATTGAGAATCTTCCATTCAGAGACAAACCTGAAATGGATGCATTTCCTCTTAGGGAAGTCCCTAATGGGATCAATGCTGCAGGCAATCCAGTGACAGTCTTTGTGGCTGTCCCCATAAAACCAGCCGAGTTGCGAGAATTGAAGAAGACTCTTCCAAAACTTCATGAAAATGCTCATGAGGTGGCCGAACAGTTAGAGCTATGGTTGGGTCTGAATGATTACACTTATCAGGAGTTGATGTACATTTTGGGACATCTATTCACTCCTGAGGAGTGGAATCTCATCTGGACCTCAGCCTGGAGAGCGTGGAATGAAAGAGTGAATGGGCAACAAGGGGCGGTGGCAGGAGTTTCAAAAATTACAAGATGTAGTCTTGCCCCCAAAAGCTCAAAATGTTCCTGGCCCTAGCTGAGACTATTGCCAAAGAATTGATGGTCAAGAACTGTTTTGTGTGTGGTGGAACCAACATGGGAGAGCAGTGGCCATGGGAGGCTCAAGAGGTTAATTATACCTATGTAGCAGAAAGCCAGGCCAATTATACCTTTAAGCAAAAGGGAGAAGAAATATGGGCTATTACTACTAACCTAGTAGGAAATGTATGTTACCAGAGGAACCAAACCACAGATCGAACCATCAATGTAGGGTCTCTGCGGTGTCTAGGGGTATGGGAGAACCAGGCTTGGTGGTCCGGAGGGAACATCTCTGAACCAGCAAGGTCCTTAGAAAGTGTAATTAAAATGGATTTTCTGAAAACACCCGAGGAACAGAAACCCTGGACAACCCCTGATGGGCTGTATTGGATTTGCGGCAGGTATGCGTATAATATCCTCCCTGCAAAGTGGTATGGGTCATGCATTCTGGGAGCAATAAGACCGAGTTTCTTTTTATTACCTCTCAAGCAATGGCAGGTATTAGGAGTGCCAGTGTACAAAGAAATAGGGAACATTAGAGAGAAACGAGGGACAAAGGACATTCATAAAGGGGTCTGGAAGGACGCTGAGTGGCCGCCGGAGAGAATAATTTATTATTATGGACCGGCCATGTGAGCGGAGGACGGGACTTATGGATATTGAACCCCAATTTACTTATTAAATCGCTTAATTCGCTTGCAAGCTGTAGTAGAAATAATCACAAATGAAACTATATTGGCTATGACGCATTTAGCTAAAGAAAGTGCACGCTCAAAAACATATATAATGCAAAATCGCTTAGCTCTGGATTATTTGCTTGCTAAGGAGGGAGGAGTGTGTGGGAAATTTAATCTAACAAACTGCTGCATCGAAATTGATGAGAGTGGAAAGGTGATCCAGGAGATAGCAGACCGAATGGTAAAAGTAGCCCATGTACCGGTCCAGACTTGGGAAGGATTCAATATGGGGAACCTGTTTGGATTCTGGTTTCCTAAGCTCCCAGGGTTACAAGCCATAGTAGCACTCATTGGTATCATTACAGCGGGATGTGTAATACTACCATGTGTTCTTCCTATATTCATCCGCATAATAACTAGCACTCTCTCCCTGATAGCCAAAAGGCAGGTTGTTGAACAAATGATGCTGTTAAGACAACAATATGACCCATTGGAGCACCTGGAGGAATCTCCTGAAGAAGGATGGAAGACAGCAGACTTGTTATTAACTGAGTTTGAGTCAAGGATGGAACAAGAAAAGGGGGGATTGTGAGAAGTGTTAATAAAGTATCCATTTTATGACTCAAATCTCATGTTGAAAGGGATGTCTTTGAAGTAAGGGAGTGCTGTACCAGGCATCAATTAAAATGTTGACTGATTTTGGAATGCCTTTGAAGCGCTGGGAATTATCACACTCTTTTGGAATGTCTTTGAAATGCCAGATAATGGGTAAGGAAGTGTCTGTTATGTGCTAAGTACCAAAAAGATAATAAAATGTAACTTGTATCCTGAAAGATAGATTGTAAATCAAGCCGTTTGCATAATGGGGGGTGGGGTAGTTTTAGGGTATAAGAGTAAGAGCAAAAGCTATGCTTTTCGTTCCTCCCAGCTGCCAAGGGTGGAACTCATCTGCAGATGTATATCCAATAAAGCCTTTTTCCTTGGATCAACTTTGAATCCTGGTGGTTTTTCTTTAGCCACAATCTCACAACAATATGGCTGCTTTTAGGGTGTGTTGCGTGCTTGCTACACAAATGGGTGCAATAGTAGGTGTTGTTGCTGAGTCTGAAGACGTGAGAGCAAAACACAGGGTTGCCCGTTAGTGTTGCTTGCTAGGTCAAGAAGACACTGTTGCTAAGTACAGGTTAGGCTGCACTGGAACCTTGCATTAAGTTGCTTAATGTTGCCACAATAATTTAAAAAAGGAATTTTCATTGTTTAAACACTGGTTAAATTTGGGAAACTTCCTATAGTTTTTATAAAAATTTGTAAACAAGTTCTTATAAAAATTGGCAGACAAGTCTTTGAATTCTCTGGGAAATTTCTCCTAGACCACCAAATGATGCTGTGGGATGCTTTGCTTAAGTCGGGGGGGGGGGGGTGAGCCCCAGAGGAATTTATTGTTTCCTCGCTGGAAGAGAAATTCCATCAATCAAATACAACACTCCAAAAGTTTGCATCCAGAGTTATACTGTTATTTTTTTTTTAGTAAAGATCGATAAACTCTAGGTTTTTTTGATCAAAAAAGAAATTGCTCTTTTGTTCATATAGCTGCTTGAATTAGCCTTGTGTCTTGGGGGAGGGGAATGGGCTTCTTTGCTTTGAAGACGGTTTGTCAGTAATGAATTACGACCCCCAATAAAACGGCCAGAGAAGCAAAGGGCTCCTTTTGGCTTTTGATGCAGCCAAGAGCTTAAGAAATGCAAAGCCTTTCACCTGGAATGAGCAGGGCAAAATTAATTTTCCTTTCTAGAAATACCAGCAAGATTTCTGAAACTTTCTCCTTGTGTTTGGAAAGGGTTTGTAATTGGATGAATACAGGGATAGATGAGGAATACCTGGCCCCTCCCTTTGTTTTGCAAATTGGTTCTTTCTGAGTTAGGAGTTGTAACTTGAGACACAGCACTTCTTTTGCTGAAAAGGGGGGTGAATTTACCCCTTCCTGCAGCCACAGATGCTAGGTTTGAGGAAAAAAGGAATAGCATGCACATTTACTCCTGGTTTCAAAATATCTTTACCTTTATCTTTCTACTTTATCTTTCTACTACTTCCAGGAATCAAGATTAAATTATCTTTCTACTGTTCTGCTTATTAATGTTTGGATGGCATAAAGCAGACAGATCAACTCCACAAAGCATCCACACAGTCTTTTTTATTGGTTCATCAGGCATCCTGTCAACTCACATTTATGATGAGGTTCTTCTTAATGTCCAATCCTTCGCATATCTGAATTGTGGTGTAGAAAGATAATAAAGTCTCAACCCCATGATAATTGGAGTGACTGCATCGTATGGTGGTTTCAGGCAAGAGTGAGGGTGCCTCCCCCAACCCAACAAGGGTCAATTTAGTGACCAATCCGGATTACAGATGTGACCACATGACATGGACTACATTTCCCAGGATGTCTTAACTACATTTACCATGATGCATTCCCTTAAGGGGACAGCTCTCAATTCCTAATTAACTATCCCAAATCCCATTAACTTTAAACTGTCTGGACAGCACACTCACCAAAAACTGCCCATCTAGTCCTGAGGGAAATGGGGGAAGCTGCCATTCCATATAATACATGGGGCAGAGAGTGGATCTTAAGTGATCACTCCATTGTGAACACTCTTCTGTCTATCAAAGAGTGAATTGTGACTAAAATGTGGTCAGCACACTTTTCTGCAGGCTCAGGGACTGGAGATTTTAACACTTCGGACTGGATGTGCTGTCTGAGAATAGTGTTTTCGAGTTAAATTAAATTAGCATTACTACGTGGAGAAAGTAACAGACCTGTTTCCTCTAAAACTAAACACATTAGTATGCGCAGCCTTCTCCGTCCATGTCTGTGGGTAGTGCAACCGCTGAAATGGCCAGCCGCAAGAATGGAAGACGGCTCCCAGGAAAGTGGATGAGGTAGGATCGAACTTGCTGCCAGAAGAGATTTAACTGTAAAACAGCATTGCACCCTTCCCTGAATTTCTCTGGGAACTCCGATGTCGTGGCGCTCTAGCGAGTTTGAAGTTATCTTCTTACTGTGGCCGATACTACATCAGTACTCTGAAAAAAAGAATAGCTCGGACCGATCTTCTTCCACTTTTCCTTTTTTCCCCTCTCCCTTTCCACAAAGATGCTTCTAAACAGAGCTACTTTCATCGCCTAATAGCTCCCCGCAGCGAACAGCAAACCTCAGGGCCTCGCTTTTACGGCGTCTGGACTGCTATCCACCGAGAGTGGCGACCAGACGCCTCTCCAGTCCCGACTCCGCCTGCTTCGCCAATAGATTCAACAGAAGGAGGAGAAAGCCCTCCCACCAGACTATCGGTTGCCGGCTTTTCCCCTTCGCCCGGCTTGCGCATGCCCCGGGAACGCGGTATCTTTTCTTCCCGGGGGGTCCCGCTGTACTTGGGACACCACCGGGAGAAAGCCCAGATCCCGCCTCCAACCAGGTTCCGCCCTGCTTCGGGATAGGCCGGAGGAGGAGGAGGCTAGTGCCGCCGCCGCCACGGCCGCCGTGCCCTTCAGTCCGTCGCCAGCTTGGCGCGCGGCTCGCCAGGTTCTAGGCGGCTTGCCAGGGGAACCGCTCGCTTTCCCTCGCCATGCCCGTGGGAGCCTCTCCCTCGGTCAGGTCTCGATACAACCTAGTGGACGACAGACACGACCTGCGCATCCCGCTGCATAACGACGACGCCTTCCAGCATGGCATCGGCTTCGAGGCCAAGGTAGGGGCCGGCTGGCCGAAGGGGCGCTATCTGATGGGCCCGGGGAAAGAGTGTTTAGCAGCCCCTGGGTCGCGTCCAAAGAACGGGGAGGACTAGAATTGGCCAGGAGAGGAAACGGGCCTTTAGGCGATTTGAATCTCGGCTCCATTAGTCTTTCGGAACTTCCTCCGCTCTGATGTTGTGGAGCAGTTTACGTCGTTCTTCCTTTAGTCGTTCTCGGATCGCGTTTGGATGTATCTTTGCGGTGTTCTTATACTCTATACCCGGATCCCGACGCCAAGTGTAAGAAAGGTTGAAATGGAGTCGGAGGCTTCGGCTTCCATCGCAGAACACCCTCGGGGAAAGAAAAAGCCGGTTCCTGCTGTCTAGGTCGGCTCCAGTGGTTGTCTTAACTACTGAGCTCCGCCTTTGCATATTTGCGCAGTTTGAAGTTCTTTTCGGGAGCGGGGGTGGTGTTAAACTGTTGTCGTTGCGGTACAAATGGTTTCTGAGGCTTGTTCTTCCGAGGGTAAGTCCGGAGATGGGATGAAGTTGCTTTGGAGAAGTCGATGGTTCTGCAAAAGACGCTTCCAAAGCATGATTCCTCAGTAGCTGAGTCTGCCTCATTGGCTTTTCTAGCCGTTCATTGGTTCACTTTCCACTTGCATTCTGGGAATTCAGTTTTCAGGTTAGATTACACCTGCAGGTACTTCCTCGTTTTATTCCGCTCAGATTTAATGCCTGAAGTTTCAAGAGCAGGCGCTTTTCACTGTTGTCTTTATTCAAGGACCCAGCTTCTCGGAGTTCTCTTTCCTAGCGATCCAAATAAATTATGCAGCAATTATACTGTGACTATTTTAGAACTTATAATTCAGGGTAGCTAAAGGGGCAATGGATCATTGCTTTTTATCTTACTGTACTTCTAACCTACAAATCCCATGGAAATCTTTCAGAGAACTGTCACTATGCAAGACTACTTTGGTCTCCCAATTAGGCACTTTTTAGATTGAAATTATACTCCAATCTAATTTAATACAGGACTTTTTTGTTTCCGGCATCAGTCCAGAATCAGAAAATGACTGGCATAATATATTCTACAAAGTTGTAATGAGGAGAAAATGAAGTAGCTTGAATGTATCTGTTTCTAATTAATATTTAATATAAGGAATCTAATGCAATGCAGTCTTAATTTCTGTGATGCTTATGCTGTCTGTTCATTGATTCTTTAAAAATGTAGAATTGAAGAGCCCCTAGGATCAAGTTTATTACAAAGAAAGCAAAACTCACTTAAAAGGCAAGTGTTTTTGGAAAACTGCACAATTGCTGGAAACATAGATGGGGAGGTGGCTTCCCAGTCTTCCCATCATGTATATTCTCAATTATCTATGCAAAATAGACAATCAGAAAGCTTAATGAAAAGAATACAAGACAGAAATAAGCAATTGATCCAGTGAAAGAGCTGAGTGTTGGGTATCAGGGACGGATGAATGAGCCAAGAAACACATATAGCAACCAAGCATTTGGATATAGGGATCATTGTGGAGACAACTGTTGTTAGGTATCCTGAAGAAAAAAAATTCTAATATTTTCCCTAGGCTCCTTAAAGGCCAGCTGCTTGCAGCAAGGGCATTTGGGGTCTGTGGAGCATTCATAACACAAACAAGCTGAGAATTGGTCTTTTCTTTAGACTTCGAAATTGTTTTGCTGTGTATCATCTATGCTAACTATTTTTCAGTTAATAAGAGCACTTTGAATTCTTGAATTAAAAGCAGGGCATATATAATATAAATTAAACTGCATACAAAATTATGTTGTCTTGCACTGATATTCTATTATACTCATCATTGAGTGTACCAGACATATCAGATGTCTCCTTGCAAGATTGTCTTTCTTTTAAAGTAAGATCTGGTTAGGTATCCAATAAGCTGTTCTATCCCTACAATCCTTTTTTTTTAAATTGTGGAGAATTCTGACATCATTGACCTGTTTTTAAAAGTGATGTTATTGTCCCTGCTTGATTCATTAGCTACTTATGTTCGACTTCAAACACAGAGAAGTCCCACCCTTAGGGACTGACAGGAATGAGTAACTATGTGCTACTTGCAAGATCCAGGTTCTTCTTCTACTATATTACATGTTATGTAGTTATTTATTTGGGCCAGATATGATGCCCCTGTAAATTGTGATCATAAGAGAGAGAAAAAAAAGTTGAGTTTGTCCCTGCACACTGTGGGAGAATTTCCCTTATGCAGTGGCACAGAATCTCATCCAGCCTAATGCTTCGTTTCAGTAAGTGGCAGATGTGAAGGCGGAAAGCATATCACAAAACATTAGATATCATTACTGCATGTGTGACTACTTTGATTCTATTAATGTTATATTTCAAAAAACTTGATCTACCAACCCATATACAAAAATCTTTATGGAACAGAGCTATTTTGTCATTGTTATTGGAAAAAGGAATCATAAATGGTTATTTTTGATTATGTCTTAAGGAAAATGCTATCCTTGGCATTTGGGCAATGATCTGTATGGTCTGATGTTTATTGATGAGTACATGCCACTTCATCCAGAGGAAAAAAATGAATATTTCTCATTCAGAGTCTTCACTTACAGGTGAAACTCGAAAAATTAGAATATCGTGCAAAAGTTCATTTATTTCAGTAATGCAACTTAAAAGGTGAAACTAATATATGAGATAGACTCATTACATGCAAAGCAAGATAATTTAAGCTGTGATGTGTCATAATTGTGATGATTATGGCTTACAGCCCATGAAAACCCCCAATCCACAATCTCAGAAAATTAGAATATTACATGCAATCAATAAAACAAGGATTGTACATAGAACAATATCGGACCTCTGAAAAGTATAAGCATGCATATGTACTCAGTACTTGGTTTGGGCCCCTTTTGCAGCAATTACTGCCTCAGTGCAGAGTGGCATGGAAGCTATCAGCCTGTGGCACTGCTGAGGTGTTATGGAAGACCAGGATGCTTCAATAGCAGCCTTCAGCTCTTCTGCATTGTTCGGTCTCATGTCTCTCATCTTTCTCTTGGCAATGCCCCATAGATTCTCTATGGGGTTCAGGTCAGGTGAGTTTGCTGGCCAATCAAGCACAGTAATCCCATGGTCATTGAACCAGGTTTTCGTGCTTTTGGCAGTGTGGGCAGGTGCCAAGTCCTGCTGGAAAATGAAGTCAGCATCCTCATAAAGCTCATCTGCGGAAGGAAGCATGAAGTGCTCCAAAATCTCCTGGTAGATGGCTGCGTTGATCCTGGACTTAATGAAGCACAGTGGACCAACACCAGCAGATGACATGGCTCCCCAAATCAACACACTCTGGAAACTTCACACTGGACTTCAAGCATCTTGCAGTGTATGCCTCTCCATTCTTCCTCCATACTCTGGGTCCTTGGTTTCCAAATGAGATGCAAAAGTTGCTGTCATCAGAAAAGAGGACTTTGGACGACTGAGCAACAGACTAGTTCTGTTTTTCTTTAGCCTAGGTAAGATGCTTCTGACATTGTTTGTTGTTCAGGAGCGTCTTGACAAGAGGATTACGACATTTGAAGCCCATTACCAAGATCCGTCTGTGTGGTGGCTCTTGATGCACTGACTCCAGCCTCAGTCCACTCCTTGTGAAAGTCCCCAACACTTTTGAATGGCCTTTTCCTGACAATCCTCTCCGGGCTGCAGTCATCCCTGCTGCTTGTGCACCTTTTCCCTTCCACATAACTTTCTATTAATGTGCTTTGATACAGCACTTTGGGAACAGCCAACTTCTTTTGCAATTACCTTTTGAGGCTTTCCCTCCTTATGGAGGGTGTCAATGATAGTTTTCTGCACAATTGTCAGCTCAGCAGTCTTTCCCATGATTGTGATTCCTACTGAACCAGACTGAGAGACCATTTAAAGGCACAGGAACCCTTTGCAGGTGTTATGGCTTAATTAGCTGATTAGAGTGGGACACTTTGAGCCTAGAATATTGAACCTTTTCACAATATTCTAATTTTCTGAGATTGTGGATTTGGGGTTTTCATGAGCTTGCCTGGGGTTTTCATGAGCTTGCCTGGGTAAAAGTTGCTCTTTTTTAAAAATAAAAAAATCAATATTTATACAGTATAAATATTTATAATATTTACATACAAACCATGCCCAGCCAGTCACATGACCACCAAGCCACACCCACAAATTAGGCCAAGCCCACAGAACCAGTTAGTGGTCCCTGGGATTTAAAATTATAAGATTGGTGGTCCCTGTGGTCCAAAAGGTTGGCGACCCCTGTCCTAGTGGATGATCATTTGAATATAAGCCAGCAATGTATAGCAGCAGCTAAAAAAGCCAATACAATCCTGTATATACAGAGGCATGAAGTCAAGCTCATATGAAGTATTAGTGCCACTTTACAAAACCCTAGTAAGACCACACCTGGAATACTGCAACCAATTCTGGTCACCATACTACAAAAAAGATGTTGAGACTGGAACAAGTTCCGAGAAGACCAACTAAGATGATCAAAGGCATGGAGACTAAAACATATGAAGAATGGCTACAGGTTTTGGGTCTGACTAGTCTAAAGAAAAGAAGAATTAGGGATGACACAATATTTGAGGGGCTACCCCAAAGAAGAGGGGGTCAGATTATTCTCCAAAGCACCAGAGGGCAGAACAAGAAACAATGGTTGGAAACTAATCAGAGAAGCAACCTGGAATTAAGGAGAAACTTCCTAACAGTGAGGACAATTAACTAGTGGGACATGCCTCCAGAAATCGTGGGTGCTCCATCACTGAATGTTTTTAAGAAGAGACTGGACAGTCACTTGTCTGAGATGGTAAAGGTTTTCCTGCATGAGAAGAGGGCTGGACTAAAAGTCCTCCAAGGTCCCTTCCAGTTCTATTCTATTCTAGTAGCCTCTCTTGTTATTCTAGTGTCAGCTAATTTCCGCTTTTTCTTTAGTTCATAGTTCATCTGGTTTTGAACTGATGAGCAATTAATTTTTATAGGTTACAACCAGTGG